AGGACATTCCCTCTGTTATGTCTCCTGAGCCTCATTTCTTGTAGTTTTAACCTGTTGGATCTAATTCTGCTCTCTGGGGCAGTAAAAACCAAATCTACTCCCTCCTTGGTGTGACATCAGATATTATAAGACTCTTCTCATATCTCCTCTCAATTGTCTCTTCTTTGGACTAAGATAACCAATCTTGAACTGTTCCTCATAGGGCTTGGGTTCCAGACTCGCCATCATGCTGGTAGCCTCCTCTGGACTCGCTCCAGTTTCTTGATATACTGGACATAGCACTCCATCCACTAGCTGATCGCTTGTATGGCCAGGAAGTTCCTCTTCTTATCTAGCCCGAACCTCCTTCTTTTAGTTTAAACCCATTGGATCTGGTCCTGCTCTTTGAGACAATCAAGAATAAGTCTACTCCCTCATCTCTCCTCTCCTCTCCTCTCCTCTCCCAACCTTCAGATATTTAAAGGCTACTCTCATATCTTTTTCGGTATTTGAAGCCACGAGGTCTAATCTGTCTTCCCTCTTAAGATCTGCTTATCAGAAGTCCAGTATGTAGGTTGGACTCTTAACTCCGCCTCCTCTGAACTCACAAATTAGAGGACAGGGTCCAAGAGAATTTGAGGAGCATATATCAGAAAAACTAAGGACTTCTTTAAAATGAATTGGAAGCACAAAACCAGCCAGGGAATCTATGACTGCTAAGTGGAAAAGGAGTGACAGAACAGACAGAGGAATTGGCAGGAACAGATCCAGCCTTTTCATCAAAACAGTGAAAGTATCATTGTGGCATTATGATGCATGCTCTGCTCCGTTTCTACACATCTGTAATGTGATGACACACTTTAAAAGAGGCAGAGCTTGTGTTGCATCAACATGACACTGCCTTCTCCCCCCCCCCCCCCCCCCCCCGGCCCCCGGGCCCGGCCCGGCCTCCCTTGCAATGTCTCTGCTCAAGGGGCATCTGGAGAATGCAAGGAAATGAAGGGTTTTTTCCCCAACTTTCCTATGGAAGATCTCAGGTAGAGGCTTAACTTTCTCTGGAAGAAAAGTAAAGCAAGGGGAGGTAACCAGAGAAGATGTCCCAGAAGGGAATTCTTGGAAGCTTGGTGTTCAGACAAGGCAGCCATCAACAGGCACACAGAGATAAATAGCATCTATGGACTATTCAAAAGAGAAAGAAAATAGAAAAGAAGACAAAAGACCAGAACATCTCCTCACCAGCAATCGTCACCCAGATAAGCAGAGATTAACACCAACATTACCACCAGACATACAATCAAGCAGTGAACAATACCCTAATCAAGGAACTACTGGAGGAAAAAATAAAACCCCCACCCCACCCACGCTGGCAAGGCAGGCCACAGCACATAAACAGAGAGCAAACCCCATCCCATTCTAGCACTGAAGAGGTGACCTAGCCGGGTAATGAAACGTTTGCAAGAAAACAGCCAAGTTCAGAGACCCCCAAGGACGCCACATATCTCAGAAGGTCCTGAAGCCTGATAAGTCAGGTCCTGGAGGCACCCTTTATTTCATTTCATTTCATTTCATTATTTCATTTATAGGCTGCTCAGCTCCCAAACAAGTCTGGGTGGCTTACAACTATAAGCCAACTTATTAAAAGAAAAATACAAGAGATCAGAAGAGCAAAGTACAAAAACAACCCCCCCCCAAAAAAAACCAAATGAAACCAAAAGGGGGGCTCTACAATCCCCTTGTCCCCAAGGCCTGAGAGAACAACCAAATCTTCAACAATTTCCCGCACAACATAAGGGTGGGGGCTTCTGGGATCCCTCTGCGAGGTCTTAAAGGATGCCAGTGGGAATGTCATGTATTTATTTGTCTGGCAAAAGTTATAGCCTTCCCAAATGGGCAGGGTGACTCCAAAGCAAGAACAGTAAGTATAAAAATACAGGTGATTAAAAGCCATATGGTCATAGGCACCCACATGAAATTGGGGCCCAAAGCACATTGGAATAATATCACTTTGTTTCTGAAATGTAAAAGGGGGGGACCCTTAACAAGCTCCCTTTCGATGGGCTGATTCTGTTCTGACATGGGGGACCTGATGTTTCCCAGGGCTGCACCGCACGAGGGTCGAAGGGACCAGCACTCTGAACTGGGCTTGGAAGCTACCTGGGAACCAGAGCCGCAACTTCAGGATTGCTGAAGTTATTTTGGCCTGGGTGTCTTGCCTCTAAGAACCGTGCCACATAAAGTGCATTAGAGTGGCGTGACTGCGTGGTGATCAGAGGGTGAGCCACCGTCACCAGGGCATCCTAGACCAAGTAGCTGCCCCAGCTGCCCAAGCAGGAGCCAAGGGTCTAGGAGCACACACACGTGACAAGCCAGCTCCTCTGAGGGAGCCCAGCCCCACTCAGAGGAGTTCCTGGGCCAATGTTATTGGACTGCGCAGATGATTACTGAGGGCCAGCAACTTAGCTGGGTAGCATTTAATCTGAACTTGTTTCACCTCATCCAGATCCTCACAGCCTCCAGGCTCTGGGTCAGGATTTGTACCTCCAGCTCAGCCCGGGGTACCCACATATTGGTGACAGCTCACTCCAAACTGAGGGATGACTTTCCCCAGAGATTTTTTGATGCTGCTAAGCATTACGGAGAAATCCCCCACAGGCATTCCCAAGGGCTGGTGCACTGCCCTCTTGCCCACTTAAGTAGGAACACATGCCCTGACTCCCAACCCCAGTAGGTAATCCAACGTACCAAGGCCAAGTGCACAGAATGCTCCCAAGAGGCCTTGTAAGACCAAGAGAGGTGCCCTCCTGCCATCTAGGTCATGATGAAGCAACACACCCCGTTTCTGTGCCACGACCCTGGCCGAAAAGCATCCAGATAGTCTGTTACCTCTAGGAACCTGCCGTAGCTGATTCACCACACCTGGCTCTGATATTTGCAACAGAGGCAGGCTGAGGACACCTGTCACAGAAATAGGGAGTTTAAGATTTGGAAGGTCCTAGGGCATTGTGCAGCCCCACCCCCTCTCTTGCTGCTTCTCTGACTGATGGCCTTTGTGGTTCTTTTTCCCAGGAGCCACGCTGCAACTGCCACCGTTCCCCTTTGTGTCAGCATTTAGCATCCTGAACTTTGCATTAATCCTCTGGATAATCTGACAACATGGCTACAGAGAAGACCAGGCGGGGGGGGCACCACTGGCAAGACTGTATCTCCCAGCTTCCCACCATAATGAAAGAAATTTGAAGAATCTCTGCTTTGGATGACAAGCTATGACTCAGCAATGAAACGTCAGAAGGGCAGAGCTACCACATACTGTATCTAGTGGATGAACGCATTTGTTTTCCAGAAGAAAGGGTCTGGCTTTCCACTCACTATGGGTCCAGGCAAAGGGGTTGCCCACTTTGGTGGTGGTGACAGTTCCATCAGCAAGTATTTAGATCATTCCAAAGCCAATTCTTTGCAAGGTGGCTTCCTGCACCAGACAGCCCAACCCTCCACCCCACAAAAAGGTATTTCAAAGGTAGGCATGCAGGGAATAGCTAGCCAGGAAGCCAAATGAAAGGGCACATGCTGAGATGGCACCTCCTTGCCCAGCAGCAGCCCTTCGGCTTCTGCCCAGCCAGGCAGGAGGCAGCCCCTGCCGCTGCCGCAGGACTAGCAGGGAGCCGGAAGCCAACCCCCAGCTCTGGCCCTGCTTCCTTTGGGAGGAAGGCGATGCCCAGAAGGAGAAACACCAAATGAGGCTGGAGGGATGGGGAAGAGAGGCAGCGCATGGCTTTTCTCCGCTTAGGGTCAGAATTGCACGGCAGACACCTGCTTCACTGACGACTGGGATCCTCGACAGGGCTGGTGTCACGCGAGCCTCATAACCGGGTCGGGGACGAGGGCGTTCTGCAGATCCGAACCTAGCCACCTATGGGGTCACGGAACAGCCGTTTTAATGCCAAAGAGCCTTTGTCTGCTGTGGGCTGAAGTAAATTCCCTCATCCCGTCAAAAGTGGAGCAGTTACCCCAACGCAGTTCTCCAAAACAGAAGCTGAACAGCTGCTGGACACATCAGGCTCTCGACCAAGGAGCCCAGGGCCAGAGTCTGGAGTCTGCTGGCAGGGATCAGCCCCAAATTGTTTGCCTACCATCCCCACCTGGGTATCTAACACCCCGTGGTTGGAGGTGCCTGTCGCTTTCCTCTTAAAGGTCTTGTTTACTTTGCCAGGGGTGCAAATATGGGTTGTTGCTTTTTTTAGATTTTTTTATCCCGCCTTTATTACTTTTTACGAGTAATTCAAGGCAGCAAACATACCTAATACTCCTCCCTCCTCCTTTTTTTCCCACAACCACCACCCTGTGAGGTGGGCTGGGCTGAGAGTGCACGACTGGCCCTACGTCCCCCAGCCTAAGGCGAGACTAGAACTCGCCGCCTCCTGGTTTCTGGGCCAGCACCTTAATGTTTCCCTTCCAGTGGGCCATTTTAGAGAGGCAGGGTGGCTCTGTGGCACGCCTCCCAGCAACCCATCTTCTGACCTCTGCGGCCATCCTGGAGGAGAAAGAGTAACTGCAGGGTCAAGCCGCCTGTGGCGGGAGACGCAGTCCTTGTGTGAACCGGCCTGCCCTTTCCCCCTCCCCACTGCTCCCTGCTTGGCTGCTAGAAGGGGCCACGGCATCATGAAGCTTGGCTGGGATTCTTCGAAGGGGACATCCAGAACTTTCTGGAGGAAGAGGGGGAGAACCCTGCATTGCCCAAATGATGTTTCACCCGGTCATAGCTGTGTCCTGGCAAAGCTACCAGTAAAAAGAGGTGATGGTCACGGCTGACTGGTTTAAGCGTCTTGAGCAAACAGGACCCCTATTTACTCCAGCCAAGCCAGAGATGTTCCGTCCTATATACACGCATTTATTATTCTTGCTTTAATGCAGAACTCCGCATGTGCCTACTGGCATGCGTTCTAGTTTTCAGCTGACTTTCTCTGCTGCTGTACATCTCTGTAGGCAGCAGATTGTGAAATGAAGCAACCCTATTTTGAAAGAGATACAAAGCAATGAAGACCTTTTTTATTGAAATGCTCTTCTACAAATCACTCTGCACCAAACAACAAAGAAACGGCAGCCACGGCGGTGGGAAGTAACAGGGGATACCCCAGTGACCGTGCGTCCCCAGGAGGACCAAAGGGCAATCTTGCTGCCAATGAAATCATGTGCTTAAAAACAAACACTGTAAAACAACAGCGCAGTCGTGACAATGACTTTCCCCCAGTCACAGAATCTGCTTGATCCTTTCAATCCCAGCCTGAGGGGGGACTCAGTTGCACGCAACCTGAAAATACCTTTGCATTTTTCTTACCACCCGCCAAGGGATGCCATGAGCCTCTGCAGGATGCGTTGGAGGAGGAGGAGGAGGAGGAGGAGGAGGACCAGCTTTTCCTTGCTTTCCAAATGCCGCCCCCCCATTGGTTTGAAAATTCACGGTGATCCCAACGGCAGACAAGTCAGTGTGCATGCGTGCGCTGCCCTGTGTCTTCTTCCATGGGCTTCAGAACCATTTACCAGCCAGCCAGGAGGACGGGTCTAATTCTGGCCACCTTCTGCCATGATGAACCACAGAAGGCCAAGCCACACCCTGTTGGGACTCGCCCGCCTCAGGTGAAACAGCACCTGGCCACCCCTCTTCTTTTCTGCTTCCATGGGATCTCTAAGATCTCTTTTCTGTCCTTGCTCTCTGGGGCTCCAGTTGGCAGCGTAAAACTCCTTTTCCCCAACGCTCCCTTGAGGACACCCAACCTGGTGCCCCCAAGACCTGTGCAGCGCAGCTCCTCCAAGGACAGAGCAGTTGCTTTTTATCCACACCACCTTCTCACCAAGGATCTGAACCAAGCATCTGCCCATTGACTCTGGCAGGCAGGAGGAGGATGGGCTTGCATCGAGGTGCCCCTCTCCCATGGGGCGGGCAGGTAGATGTGTGATGCCCTCCCCTCTACATTCCTGGGAGAGGGCAGCCTTGTAGAGAGCAGTCAGGTCAGTCCAGCCCAACACAAATCCAAACTCCGTGTCAACCTTTTTTGAAGCCAAGCGTTCTGGAGCACAGCAAATGCCTCTTCCCCGGTGGCAGCAATTCTTTACCAGTTAGGTTGGGAAGGGAAGGAATGGAGGCTACGACCCACCAGTTCAGGAGAGTCCACACCTCCTGCCACGGCAGCTTTCCATCCCTTCATGCCTTGGGTGTTGTGATGGGTTGGCCTTGCCAGAACCCACCTGCTGCTTGCAAGCAATGCTCTACAGTTGGGCTCCAGCAAGTCACTCTTCCTAGATCTGCCAGTTGGGAGGATCGGCACGATGCTCCTGCCATGAAGATGTACATCTGGCTGGTTGGCGTTTCTGCCTCACTTACCCCTGGATCTCCCGCACACGAGGGAAATGCCCTCAGCAGCCACCAGATCCAAAGCTGCTGCAGGAGACCCCTTCCCCAGGCTCAGCTTTACCACACAGCAGAAGGGCTCTCCCAGCCAGCAACCTGTCAACAATTCTGAAGGAAGAAGCTGCTCTTCATCAATCTTCCTGTGCAATCGCAATCTCAACATCCTCCTAGCATCGCACCACCTTTTTCAAGGTTCACCAGCTTCATGCAGCCTACAATAGAATATGTACCAGATCTCCTTCTACAGCTGGACGTATTATTGCTGTGACCATTTGCAGCAAATAGGTACCAGGAATATCTTACACAGTAGTCTGGTCACCAAACTGCAAAGGTGCAGGATATCTGCAGGACGGAGCAGCATCAATCAAGACACTGAGAAAGATTTGGAAACCTCCTGCTATGGACCTTGGCCTCTTGCCTCTCCAGTCCCTCTGCAGCCCACACACAGGCCTCGGCCTCCACCAGCTAGTGAAAGGGATAAATGATGGAGACAGAAATTTCACCTCCTCCTGGGCTGGTCTGAGCAGCTTGTAGTAGTGGTGGCGATGGTGATGGTGTTGGAGGAGGAGGAGGAGGATGGAGCAAAGCACACGCTAAAGCTGGTGATGCTGGTGCTGTGGTGGAATCTCCCAGGCTAGTCATGAAGCAGGTCCATTTTCAGTGGAAAGGGTCAGATTATGGAACACAGAATAGTCCATGCTTGATGGAACGGTGGGGGATGGGGGAACCTGGTGCTAGCAAACGTTTATGTATTGCGCACCCCCAGAGACTGTTCCAACTCTTGCCGGCGCTGCTGGATCTGAAAGTGTGAAAGAAAGCAGTGGGTTAGGCTGCAGGAGTTTGTGGGGAGGAGAATGGGACTCACCAGCCAGCCCCACTGCCTTGCCTTGCAGTAGAAGTATCTGCTCACAGCCTCCTGGGACCACGGCTCGTGGTAGAACTCTGCCCTCCGCTCCTCTTCAGGGTTCCCCACCACATCTGTCATTACCTGCAGGGCAAGACAACCACATAAGCATCTGTCAAGCCAGAGTGCCCCAAGCTAAAACATAAGGCTCCCTTCATATATCAATGGAGAAAAGAAACAAATAATTTTGACCAAAGACTCACAATGACTTGCATCTCAGCACTTGCCATTGTTTGAATCGGCCCAAAGTTCCTGAATAATTTTCCTGAACAGACAGTGGATTACTTGAGCATTCTTGGCATGACACCACTTTTTCCAAAAAAGAGGGGGATATGGGGCATTTTGAACACCAGTTAACTACTATATTAAGTAGACAATGCCTATTCATCACAAGGCTTTAACTTATTTTGTGAGGCACATTAAGAAAAGAGATATGATTTCTAAGCACCTCAAATGGTACAGAAACTCTGCAACCTTAGGGGGGAAATGCAGCCTGCCAAGATATACAGGTCTGGCGCAATATGGTTCATGGGGTCACGAAGAGTCGGACACGACTTAACGACTAAACAACAACAAGAAGATATACAGAAGGCATTTGAGATATGAAATATTTCAAGAGTCAGAGGTCCAACAAAGTTCTGTCTTCACTTGCCAACAAACTTCATTTGTCAGAAGGTAAAAGAAGGAGCAAGGGAATCTGCTATCTTAGACCTCATCACCACAGAGAAACTGAAGAAGTGACCCTAACCCTTGAGGACATGACAAGGAACTAAGAGGAGTTAATCTCTATATTAGATTTGGGAGGAAAGGTAGGTCAAATCCATGGCTTCAGATCATCCTGAAGGAGAGAAGCATCTAGGAAGGATGTAAACAATGTACTGAAGGCGAGACTGGAAAAATGTCTAGGAAATGGAAGAAGGGGCCCATTATCAAAGGAGGACCTAAGGCTGTCTCCAGAAATGGTAGGGTTGCTCAGAAACACCAAAGCACAGAATGAGCTCAGGCTTGCAAGAACTGCCCAGAAGGACAAAAATGGCCTTGGGAGATAAGTCAAAAACCACAGGAAAATTTAAAGATCTATAGGTCTGCTGTGAGGATAAAGAAGTGAAATGGTAACAGGGGACAGCAAGAAGGCAGCATGTCTTAACTCCTCTTTGGCATCTGTCTTCTTCCTACCTTGGGAAGCATTAACAGGAGCACCGAGTCCAGTTCATTGGAAATAAATGTTCCCCTTTATTCTGCCCTGGCCAGACCCCTCTTGGAGTCCTGTTTCCAATTCTGGGCACCAAAAGGGGCAGTGATAAATTGGAGGAAGTTCAGAGGACAGTTACCAAGATGGTGAGGGGTTTGAAAAACAGCTCCTCCAGGAACAGGTAAAGGGCCAGGGAATCTTCCAATACATGAAGGGATGTCCCAGGGAAGAGGGCATGGGTTCACTCTCCACAGCACCCAAGGGCTTGAAAGCCTTACAGTGAGAGAGCCACATTTGAACTAAGGAGGAATTTCCTGACTGGGACAGCTATTGAGCAATGGAACAGCCTCCTTCCTGGAATCGTGGGGGATTCTCACTGGAAGCCTTCGAGAAAAGACGAGGCAGCCCTTTGTCTGGGGTGGTCTGATGTTTCCTGCATGGGGCAGCGGTTGGACTAGAAGACCTCCAAGGTGCCTTCCAACCCAACCCTAGCAGTCTATACTTCTGTGTTTCACCTACAGAAGGTATAACTAAGGGCAGGCAGGATAGCAGTCTTCCAAGCTCTGACAGGCTGCCGCTGAAAAGAGGAGATGGACTTGTTCTGTGTTACCCTGAACCGCAGAACCAGAACCAGTTTGGCCACTTTGGGCTTTTTTTCTCCTTGGTTCACTCATTTGCAAAGAATTTGGCTACAGGACATATTTTTCTAAAATAAGTACAATGATACATTCAATATTGGGTAAGAAAGTATTGTTAAACATGAAGATTTATGTAGCTTTAGCACGCTTTCAGGGTCTGCCATTTTGCCTCTCCTGCCCCAGATCTCCTTCTATCTTCACTCATGTATCAGAAGCAGAAAAGAGATCAGCTGTTTCCTCAATCCACACACTTCATGGCTTCTGTTGTTGGTCTCCCCCGGCAGCCAGGAGAATATTGGCAACCCAACCTGGCAGAATGCTGCACTCCACAATTCCCCATATTTCAACATGATGATCACATCAGGTCACTGAAGGGCCTTAAATGGTCAAGCAAAAAGGTGGGGGGTGTTATCTGAGGGCAGGAACAAATAAGGTGTATGAGGGAAATGAGACATAAGAGTGAATGCTGCTGGGTGCCTTTTCCCCCTCCTCCAATTGCAGAGCTGGAACAAGTGTACCCAAATTATTAGATGTGATAGTGAGGGAGTCTCCCTCTAACCCACTTCTCCCAAGAAAAGAGGACAGCAGGGATTTAGAATTAAAAATGAAGGGTCTCCTGAGCTTCAGAAAAAAAACGGAAGCAGAACTGGGAAAGCGCAAGGGGAAAACTGCACATTGGTGAGCCTGGTCAGATACCTCCCGCCTGCCCCATAAAAGAGGAGTGAAGAGCTACAGTTATTCCTGTTCTTCAGGAAGGGAAGAAGTGGAGCCAAGAAGCTCTGGACTGGTTGCCTTGATGGAAGTATCCGAGGAAATCCTAGAAAAGATCATCAAGCACTTAGACAAGGCGGTTGCTAGAAGCCAGCAGGTTTGTTAAAAATAAGTTGTGCCAGACAATTTTATTGCATTTGTTTTTACTAGATTAGAAGGGAATGCTATGACTATAGTGTACCTAAACTTCAATAAGGCATTTGATAAAGTTGACCACAGCCTCCTCCTTGATACAACAGAACAATATGGGATGGACAGTCCTACTACCAGATGGATTTGCAGTTCTTCGAACAACCCAAACCCAACACATGGTCTTTAATTGGTCTGCGTCATCCACATGGAGGAAGGCATGCTGTGGGCTACCTCAGTGTTCTGTCCTGGGCCTGGTGCTCTAACATTTTCATCAGTTACTTAGATTAAAAAAGGTGCTCTTCCATTTGCAGATGAAACAAAGTTGGGAGGGGAGACTGCTGACACCTCAGAAGGCAGGCTAAAGTTTCAAAAGCTCTTGGTACACTTGAGCATTGGTCCCTATCCAACAAAATGGTGAGAAGTGTAAGTTTCTGCATTTAAATTTTTTTAAAAAATCAGATGTAAAAGATAGGTGGTACCTAACTCAGCAGCAGTATTTGTGAGAAGGATGTAGACCACAGATTAAGCATGAACTAGGAGTGTGCTGCAGCAATCGAAAGAGAGAACACAATCTTGGGCTGCATCAACAGAGTTATAGTGTCAAGATCACAGGAAATAATAGTTCCACTCTACACTGGAATGCTGTGTCCAGTTTTGGTCACCACAATACAAGAAGGAAGATGCTGAGGAACTGGAAAGAGCAACAAAGAAGGTGAGAGGCTTGCAGCCTAAATCCTATGAAGAATGGTGAAAAGAACTGGGTATGTTTACCACCTCCTGGCAAATAGAAGGGGTAGAAATGGAAGCAGTAACAGACTTCATTTATTTGGGCTCCAAGATCACTGCAGACGGAGACCGCAGCCATGAAATTAAAAGACGCTTCCTCCTTGGGGGG